CCCCATAGAGAACTAACAATCCTCGTTACTCAGAAAATATTGTGAAAGAAACTACAGCAGCCTGAGTAGCCCAACTGCTAGTTCCTGCCCGCAGCAGTACATGTGCCTTTCCCTAGCGTCACTCACAACTGCTCTTTGTCTTTCAGGCTGTCCTAGGGCCTGAAACTTTGCAGAAGCTGCTAAGATGGCTACGAATGCACATTCTGTACAGAGTTTGGCCCAGGGTGTGTTCCGTGTGTGGCTTAAAATGCTGATGGTCAAGGCCCTTCCACGGTCTTCACATCCGTCTGTGGAGGACAGGACCTGCCCCTAATGTCCTTCCAGGCTGCCGCCCCACCCTGCCAACGCACCCCTGCACATTCTAGTTGTTTTCTGCTTTCATGGCACCTTAGCGCCAGGGGAGGGTCTGCCCATGCAAAGCAGAGAAAGACAATTCGCACTGGGGGACCGGCTGGGCTGCCCCGAGGCAAGGAGGTCTTTGTAGATAAGTGCTGATCCCTCCGCTATAATCCCGATATGTAATGGCTGTATTAACATGTAACCGACCGCATTGTATCTAAAGCCTTAGAACTAGTCAGGTGCTCCCCTCCAACCTTGTTCCTGCCCCTTTCCTCCTACCTGATCTTTAACAAAGCATTAATAATTCTAAGGATAATCTCTATTTTGTTGTGCTTTTTTTGTAACTGTTTTAAATAAATCAATTTGTACTGTATATTTGTACTTTTGGTGAGATCCTTTTTCCTGTTTTACCATTTTAAGTCTGTACTTGGCTACACACAGATTGTATTTTTATTGTTAATGCTCTTATGAATATTGCATTTAACTTGTTGACTCTGTAAACACAGTATATATCTATCTATCTATATATATATCTATATATAAACCAATAGCTTTTCCTTTGGTGTTTGAGACTTTTTGCTCGTCTGTAGCATCGGTGATCGTTAGGATGTGGCTTCTCTGGTCTTACGCAGAGTGATCTGGAGACTTGTGACAAGGGTAAGGTAAAGGCTGTCTGACAGTTGGATTATAAGCCATAATTCCGTGTTCAAATGCTTCTGCTTTTACGGGGCCTTTCTTGAACCCCTCGGAATAATGACCAGGTGCCAGTGACACTGCAGGGAAAGTTTCGGCTGCAGACTGCAGAGTGAAGCGACATCTCTGCCAGCCAAGCAAAACACGCAAGACAGAGCAGCAGCAAATGCTGCGAGAAGCAAACTGTCGGTTTGAGTGTGAAAATGGGCAGAGGTAAGAATAAAAGTGAGACATCAGTTCGGAGAACAAAGGAGGATACGAACAAGGGAACGTGGAACTGAAAAGATCCTTTCCAGATCTGGTGCTTTCTCCTAAAGTGAGAGGCAAGGATGGCTCCTGGGTGTCAGGTCTCTGTGATGAACGGTACCTTAAAACAGCTTCCGCAAGGTGAGGAAACAAGATGTTACCGATGTAGTGTTGAAAAGATCAAATGCTTTTTGTAGCAAGTGTCCACAAGGCTGTCTGTAAGGTTAGTTATTCAGCGTGGAAAAAATGCATTATGCACTTTGAAGGCAGCTACTGTAAGCATTAACTAGGGCTTTAAGGAACTTCAATCAGTTTTTCAAACTGAAAAAAGAGGGGAAAATCAGGTTTCTAAGTAGGCTGGCTGAAAGGTTTTGCTGCTTCTTTTAACTTTACTCTTCTCATCTCAAGTAGGAGTCTTTCGGTCACCATTTCTGATTTAGTGCAAAGAAACAGCCACTGGCAGCTCCCAACGTATTTAGACCATCATGAAACTGCACTGCAGACCTTGACTGGAAATGCTGTGAAAGCAGCAGGGGTCTTCAGGCTACACAACAGAGATGTGTGGCACACCAGTGTTTGGCGGGCTGACATTTGGAAACCACAAAGCTACAGCAGGCATTTTTAGATGCTCATTCTTAAAGAAACCAAATAATGGAGAGCGTACCACCCCTTTGCCACCCTGTGAGTCCTTCTGTGCTAATGTTTTGCCTTTTCCAGTTTGAACAGGCCTAGATTTAATTTCCATAGTTGCATAGTTTCATAATGATTTCTATTAGCAATGGGAGCCTTTTCATATAGGTACCAACTATGATCGCATTTCACCTTGGCTACCTCTGGAATAAACTAAAGAAGGCTTAAATTTCCTGCCCCCTGGAAGGTTTTTACAGACTCGGTTAGTGTAGCTTTACATGGTTCCTCCCCAGAGGAACGTCCACATTCCTCTCACTGGGGTTGCTGCTGAATGTGGCAGGAAAAGCAACTTTCTTTTCTACCTGTGTGGTTCCGTTTTGTAATGGTCCCCCTCGCCCCACAGTGTTATCTGCAGTGACCCCTGAAAGTCACTGTTGGTCACAGAGGAATTTACTAGGAGAATGAGTAACCTGAGTGTGATCTGTGGTCCTAGATAAGCAGTGTTGCATTTGGCTGTATTGAAATGCTTGAACAAGCTCAGCTTACTATGAGTCACAGTCACAGAATGGTTGAGGTGGGAAGGGACCTCCGGAGGTCATCTGGTCCAACCCCCAGCTGCTCAAGCAGGGCCACCGACCGCCAGCTGCCCAGGATCACGTCTTCTGAATATCTCCAAGGTGGGAGACTCCACAACTTCCCTGGGTAACCTCTGCCAGTGCTCCCTAGCCCTCACAGTGAAAAAGTGTTTCCCGACGTTCAGAGGGAACCTCCCATGTTTCCGTTTGCGCCCACTGCCTCTTGTCCTGTCACTGGGCACCACCGAAACCAGCCTGGCTCCACCTGGCTCCATCTTCTTTACACTCTCCCCTCAGGCATTCACACACACCAATAAGATCTGCCCCTCCTGCCCCAAGCCTTCTCTTCTCCAGGCTGGACAGCCCCAGCTCCCTCAGCTGTTCCTCACAGGAGAGATGCTCCAGGCCCTTCGCTATTTTTGCTAGACGCTCTCCAGTATGTCTGTGCCTCTCTCGCACTGGGGAGCCCAGAGCTGGACACAGTACTCCAGGTGTGGCCTCACCAGTGCTGAATAAAGGGGAGAGCAAATCCATACAGTACTAGAGAACTGACCTACCCTTATTGTTTACCTTTCAGTCAATTCTTTCACTTGCAAACCCCAAATGCTGTTTAAGCAAAAATTAACTTGTGAGTAAACCAGCAAGCTTGTTTGCTGTTTGCTTACCTCCGTCAGCCTTTCTGTTAGTGTTTATATGGGGTATCTTAGGACAGGAACTCAGTTTCCTCTTAGTTTTTCCATGGATGCTACTGCAAATAAGCACATAGTGACAGCGTTAAGAGAAAGGGTGTGCACAGCCATTTCCAGGGAGACGACGTCCTCCTTTGCTTCCTTTCTACGGGCACAAACTGTGCAGGATTTACTCCTGGAAGAGCTGTAGGCTATCAAAGTCCTCAGCTCCGTAATTCATCCTGCAGGAAACAAGATCCCTTTTTAGTGACGTCGGCTTTCACCTACAGCAGAACTGCAGCAGTTCAAACCCATCTATGGGGCAAGGGCCCAAGAACAGGACAAAGCACAAAAGGTAAAGAAGGGGACTAAACAGACGTGAACATTAATTTATTTTCCCCTGTTCACAGGCTACGACTTGGCCCTCGGAGCAGACTGTATCCTCAGAATCTGCTCCCACCAGAGCTACTTTGGCAGACATCTCTCAGCTCTGTTCTCCCTCTATGTTCAGGAGAAAACCAGAACCATCTGCCAGGAGAGTCAGCCAGGGAGCTGGGAGCCAGCAGCCTCCTGAGTGCAGAAGCCTGCTGGTGCACCCGTGGCAGGTGCAGTGGAGGTGGCACAGTCCCTGGCTGCAGCTTAATGCAGCGCAGTGTTGCTCTGCTCCTCAAAGGTCATTTTGCCCAGCAGCTGGCTCTCCAGCTCCACATTGCTCACTGGCAGCTGGAAAAAGTTCATTTCAGCTGCCAAAGCAGCCATGGCAGAGGGGTCCTGGCCAAACTGTGCCCGGAGCATCATGTCCATTTTCTCCAGGCGCCGCTTGAGCCTCTTGGCCTCACGCTCCCGGATGAGCCGGGCCTGGCGTTTCTCTGGGGTCTCGTTTGCGCGTTTCAGCCGCATGGCTTCCCGGTCTCTCTGCAGCCGCCGTGCCCGCTGCTCGTCTGTCTCCTGCATGCGCTGCAGGCGCTTCGCTTCTCGGTCCCGCATCCGCCTCACTTCCCGTTCTTCAGGGGTCTCGTTGTCCCGCCGGCTCTTCTTGGCGGTGCGCTCCCGCTCCAGACGCTGCAGCCGCACCTCCAAGGGCTCGTTCTGCCGACGAAGCGCCCACTTTCGCATGCCAGGCGTCTGTGCCTCCAGCAGCTTGCGATAAGCAGCACAGTTGTTGCACACTAGGAGGATGCCTGCAGGATACACAGGGGTGTGAAAGGCAATGTCTTTCCCCTCAACACCGGAGGGGCCCTCGCTCTGCGGTGCCGGCAGGCGATCTGCACTGAGCACCTCTGGCAGCTTCTCACTGGAAAGCAGAAAGAGCAGAGAGTCAGAGACTTGGTGCTGACGGAAGAGTCCCCATCTCAGACTGGCCAGGGGGCTGCAGTGAACAGTGCCCCTACTACAGCCCATGACAGAGGACTCTGCTAAACCATTCCTGCCCACAGACGTGTCTGAAAATCTAAAACGAGGCAACATCATATCTGGGGGTAGGAAGCAGGTTAGCCCAGAGCAGTATTTGGGTTGGAAGAGCACAAGGGCAGGAATTTGCCAGCAAGCTGCTCCTCCCCATCATCTCTGGATTTCTCCTTTCAGCCCTATTCCACTGGTCAGTGGATAATCTTCCACCAGGCAGGACACAAACATGGAACATTTTGGTTCCCGCCTGTAGTCCTGCTCTGGAAATGAGGGCAGACCTGCTCTGACGGATTGCTGGGCAAGGGAAGCAGTTGATTGTTCTCCAGTGACTGGAGACCCCAGTGCTTTCTGCACAGTTCTAGTTCTTCACAGGGCTAAGGAACACCCTTTTAGCAGCACAGCCCGTGCAGGTCTTAGCAGGTGATGCAGAGCTGCAGGCAGGAAGGGATCAAGGGAATCTCACTCACTGGGGGTGTTTACAACTCTCCTACAGGCCTTAGTGGGTCCAGAGCCACGATGTCTGTGTCACTTAAGGCAACCCACCTAATCTTTAACGTGGGTACCCTAGCCCACTCACCAGCCAGGGTGACCCTGACCTGTTGAACGTGGCGTGGCTGGTGAAGCGTGCTCCACACACCGCACAGTTTGACAGCTGGTCCTCTGAGTGGATCAGGAGATGTCGCCCAAGGGATCCTGGTGAGCTGAGGGCTCTGCCACATACAGGACACATGTAGCTCTTGGCGCTCACCACAGCTGCAGTGTGCTGCAAAACAACCACCACTATGTTGTTGGTTACAAATTGCCCAGCTCCCTGCCCCGTCCAAAGCAAGCTCAACAGATACGGCAAACCATTCAGTTCAGCCTCCTGGAATGGGAACACTTTACCACTAAACCTCAGTCTGACATCTCCTAGACCAAGCTCAAGACATCTGGGGTGTCACAGGTCAAACAGCAAGGAGGAAACCTTTCTACAGCCCCACTCCAGTGCAAGAAAACCAGTTAGATCATATGACCTGACACTTGTTTTCAGAAATGCACCCGAGGAGCTGCTGTTGCTGGACAAAGCATGACTGGACTAACAGTAGGCAGGATGCTGGTGAGGAAGCACTTAGATGGAGACAGCCAGCTGGAGCAGCTAAGAGGCCAACTCAGTTCTGCTTCGTTCCTTCTTTTACAGACTTTGACGTGCAGTGAGAAGAACACTGACCACAAAACCTGTGAGACTCCAGCACAGATTTCCTGCAATACTGGAACCATTTCAGAGGAAGAACAGCTGTTTTCATGGGTAGGAACTGTGATAAAGGTCTAAAATAAAGAGCTGAGCAATTAGGAGAAAGGTTCTTTATCTCACTGAAGGATGTAAAAATGGCTTCCATGCTTAATCTGAAGGAACTGCCTGGTCTTAGCTTGCCACTGCTTACGGAGACTGCCTTGGGATGGAGTTGTGTTTTCCACATCTGCAGACCAGCACCTTGCCGATTCTTCCCCCAGGACACCCTCTGGACACAGTTTACTGCTGTAAACTTCAACCACACCCTAGATAGAAGCTCAGTTTTGTGACTGCAGAGACCAGAACAAAGCCGCCCTGTGCTTTGGGTTGTTTCTCCATTTGGGGCCTAAGGCCAGAGATACCCCACCATTCGGAACCATCCCCTACCTGGTATACGTGAGCAATGAGCTGCTCTCTGCTTCCACACTCCAGCTGGCAGAGGGGGCACTGTGACAGCCCCAGCACAGGGTCAGCATTCAAACTCTCAGGCACCTACAAGGAGGAAAAGCCGCTCTGACGTAAGGCACCCAGAGCCCCCTGACACAGGCACTCCTCCCTCCCTTAGTATCTGGTCAACACTGCAGCAGGCCGTGACCAGACCAAGTGCTGTGTGCCCAGTCCCGCTGGGGCTGGTGGGGGTTCTTGCCGTCTGAAACTTCCTTTATGTGGCCTCTGAGCAAAACTCCAGCTGTCTCGGGGAGAACAGGCAGAGGCCTCACAGCCCCGACTCGCACCCAGGCTCTTGCCAGCGCTGTGGCTCCACTAGGCAAGGCCTGCTCTGTAGCAGAAGGGGAAGTCAATCAGCGCAAGGCACCAGAACTGAAGGAAGGGGACACACTCTGCACAACCACCTTGGCCAGCCAGAAGAACAGCAGTTTGTGCCTGCTGTCTCCTGCTCCTGGCACCCCAAGTGCTCTTTGTACCATTTCTCCTGCCAGGACATGTTGTTTGGCAGAGGTGGGAGGGAGAAAAAGATAAGAAACCACGATGGGGAGAGGAGGTGTAGACAGTACCCTTCTCTGTCCCTGGGAGGCTATGGTGAGTGCAGAGCCAGTACACACTTGCCTCATTTTCTCTCATCAGTGGGGTTCCAGCCACAGGTTGTTCTGCGTTCTCTAATTCTTTCTTCACTTTCACCATTGAGCCATCCTCCTCAGATGTATGGGAAGAAACTTCATCCTGGGTGGTTTCCTCATCATCACTGCCACCTGGAACATGCAGAACAGTTACTGGAGTGTCAGAACCCTGAGGGTACTCACAGGCCTTAATTGTCCTGACCAGCATCACCCGGGGCCTCTACCCAGCCCATCTGACCAGTGGCTCCATTTAAACTCAGGCTAGGGCCCTCCAGTCCCTGAAGTGTTCTGTGGAGTCCCTGGACCTGGCCTGTTACCCTGCCTTGCTTGACAATCACTGGATCGTCAGCTGGACCTGCTGCTGTTACCACCCTGCTCTGGGTAAGTTGGGACTGCATCCCAGTGGTGAGGTCATGGCCCAGCCTGTGCTGTGGTGGTCCTTGGCTCTGGGCTTAACTTCTCTTAGGGAGCAGCTCTGCTCTTGTTGTTGGCTGACAAAGCCCTGCACAGGAGCCAAGGGCTAACCCAGAGGAGGAGATGGGTAAGATGGTCCTCAGAGGACCCCCACAAGCTGTGCAGCACCTAGCCTCGCCCCTTGTCAGTCTCCCCAGTCCACTACCTTGCCGTTATTAGAAGGGGCAGAACTCACTGCTGCCGGAGTCGGGGTCTTGCAGCGGATGAATGGCTGGCCTTTGGTCCCCAAGGGCTCCAGGAAAGTTGTTTTTCATCATGGCTTGGCGGGCTTGCTCCTCCAGCCCTGCAAAGACTTGCTCCCCTGGCAGCCACAAGGACAAAGAGTCAGACTGGTGCCGTTCCATTGCTTCCACCACCAAGGCTTGCCAGAAACACAACAGGCATGGGGCTGCTCACCTGCACTGTGCAGAACCTCTGAAGTCCCCTCTCAGAAAGCATTTAAGTAACCTCTCTGCTTGCCTGCCCTGCAACACCAGCCTCTTGTACCTGCTGATGCGAGTCCAGCGCCTGTGTGCAGAACAGTCTCACTAGTGGAAATGTCCAGCATCGAGCTGCTCTCTGCATGCCCTTTATATGCCACTCCAGGCACAAAAAACCTGTCAGATCCCATGTATCTGCCACATGTACCCAGCCGTCTTTCTCTGCTGCCAAGCTATCTGCCAACAGAGCTGTAGCACAGCTCTAGGCGGGGGGAAATCCGCTCGGGGATTATGACAGTGTCCCAGATCAGGCACCGTGCTATATGGCTCTTCTACATCATCCAGTCCTACTGCCTGCTACAGCAGGCAACTTGCACAAAAGTAGTATGTCTCCGAGCGCCTGGCACCTCATCTGCTCTCCACAGTGATACTAAAACCAGGGCTTGTCCTTGGCATGCTCTGTCACCACCTTCTGTCCCAGGAGGACTGAGGACAAGCTGCCCTTCGAGAAGGTGTTTGTTTTTGGAGCTGGTGTTCTCCTGCTTACGTGACGGGTAACTTGCTTCACTACCTTGCTTTGCCCAGGAGCGGCTCTGTCTAAAATAAATCTCAGTGAAACTTCATATGCTTAAAACAGAAAACCAAGGGAATAAACCCAGAAAGCTGAGAAACTTGTTTAGGATAGCTTGCAGTCTGTTCTGTTGAAAGACACTGATCACTAGTACCTCAACTCAATGGGAGTAGGCCAACGCATTGGAAGTAGGCGATTATTTGTGCTTCTCTGAAAGAAAACTTACTGCTAAGGAGAACTTTTTGTTCCAAAGAGTAACAATAAAAAGCAACCATAAATTTTCATATGAAATCAAACAAGTGACTTTGTTCCAGGTGTAGTTGTGATTTACATCTCTCAGTGGATGAGCTGGGAGCGCTTGGGACAAGGTGCTGAAGTTCCCAGTGGGCTAGCTTTTGGGCTAAACTTCTCAACTGAACCACTCAAAGCATAAATGCAAAAATGCTAAGGAAGATGCAGTGCATTTTTCACATAAAACAAAAGTCAAAACGTAGCTTTCAGAACAATTCATACATTTTGGTACAGGGTTGCAACCGGCATTAGTATAACCAAGGAATTGAATTCTTCACCCACTGAGAGCACCAGTCCTGTTACAAGGACAGGTATATTCCCACACACCAAACTGTCTCAGCCAGCTTTGCCCCATACTCATACTCACACTGCCTATCTGGTGCTTACCTCACAATTTCTGGCAGTGCTTCAAAAAGCAGTAATTTATGTAAGATTTCAAAGACCTTCAGCAGTTTCACTGTGACTGTGGGAGAAGAGTTTTAGTTCCCAGTATCCCCACAGAGGTTTCCAAAAGCATTTGAAGGCGTTTATCCTTCTGTTTCAGAAATGTGAGAAAGGTTTCTGAGAAGACTTGAGAACACGGTCCATGCGGGCTGAAGAGGGGTGCTGGGGAGCACCCCAAGCCTATTCGTCACTGAAAGAGGCAGGTACCATCGTGGCTGCCATGACACACGTACACCCATCAGAAGCCATTCCAGCACTGAATGGCTTTCATAACCTGGAGGGCTGCTTTTATGTCTGGACCACAGCCCCACGTTGGCGGGACTGAGATACAGGCTGTGTAACCAGCAGACCCTACAGAACTACAGCGCCTCTCCAGGAAGCGGATATCCACAGACCACCAGGACAAACGCCCACAGACCGAAAAAGCATTGCAAGACAAAGTACAGTGAAATGAGGAAACCTGCAGAATGCAGGGCAGATGTAAAACCATGGTGGGAGATGTGCTTTAGACAGTTACAAAACAGGATCCCCAAACACTACTGCAACTGCCAGTGCAAGCAGTTACGTGTTTGTTTTCCCCTTCCAGATGACTTACGCTTCCTCTGAGCAGCAGCCTGGAGTCTAATGGCAGGTAGGCTCCTGCTCAGACAGACAGGCTGTGCAGCTAGTCTGCAGGATTTTAGAAGCGGTGATCTTTATGTGAGGTGACTGACATACGAGGGAACTCCTCCTACCAGTAACGCCAGCATCAATCACAACAACTAAGAGTGCAATAGCGTCTGATGGTGGGCTTTCTGTACAACACACCCAGAACCAAGTTAGCATCGATTCAGTGCGGTGCAGAGAACTATCAGCTTACAGACAGAAATGCAAACTGTTAACCAAACCGGTGCTGACAACATCTTGTGCACTCTCCACTACCCTGTATCTAAAAAGGCATCATGGGACTGGGAAACACAGACTTTTAAAAATGCTACCTTTAGCTTACACAGAATTTCTTATGTATTAAACTAATACTGTCTCCAAAAGAACGTAGGGAAGACTGTCCTGCTCACCTACTGATGGACTAAGTCCTACTTTGGTGAAGCTTGGGAGTGTTAATGCTGGACAGGCACGGGGTTATACTTTCATTGTTTCTGCACACACGTGCTCACATGCAGATGCTTACGCCCCCACCTCCACCCCACTCTGAATACAGTTCTGTTCATTTGGAAAGGGAGTAAGACAGGCAACGGCTTTTGGATCACTGCTATCAGTAAAGGATGTTATGCTCAATAGTCAATTCACACTCTTCTCCAGAAGTTTCTTTATTAAATACAAAAAGGGCTGCAGGCTGACCGCAACACCAAAACAAGTCACTGTATTTGTTTTACAAGCAGCTAGAGACGTAGGACAGTGAAAGACTGTACAAATGCCTCTGCTTTGCATTCCAGTTCTCCTCTCCGTAATCTTGTAAATGAGTGGGAGGCCAGGTGAGCAGCCGTGGAGGTAGGGGGCAGCCCTGTGGTACTGTGCAACAAGGGCAGTTATGACTGCTAGGATCTGGTGATGTATCAACTTGGTAGCCAGAAATGATTTTTTCTGAGCCCTTCCTTTCTTGAACTGTATGAATGCAGGATAACACTCAGGTACTCTGGAAAATAAACACACAAACAAACAACTCCCACCCCAAAAGCCACAAAAGAAAATCAAAAGAAACTGCATCATTCCCCTGTCCTCCTTCCTAAACAGAGGTCTTGAGACAAGCCACTTTATTCCCTCCTTGTACATCAATTTAAGGTCCCTGTTCCTGTAGGTCTTCTCTGTGTTCCTTTCCTGGACCTGCAATTTGCAAGTCTTTCCACCACTGTGGATCTAGTCCACCTGCCCCATCGCTATTCTGGGTTGTCCACACTGCTGTAGTGGTTACTGAAATGAAAAACAACACAATGGAAAGAGTTAACAACGGCAGCCCACAGAGCCCTTTAAGAACCAAGGGTTTGATGCAAGTAACATTTCTGCTTGGTTTTGAACGCCGGGTGCTATTTCTTGGAAGATACTCTCTTCAAACTGGGAATATCAGAGACAGCAGGATTCAAGGAACACTGAAGAGTCAATGTGCGCATGTCAGAGGGAGATGGAAGGAAACAGAGGATTAATGGGATACTGGGACCATGATAAACAGAGCTAGGAAGTAGGAATTAATTTGACTAACAAAACCTGTTCTCAAGAGTTCTAAAATCAGCATCACTTGCAAAGGGTACAAGCAATAGAAAGAAACACAGCTCATGGGACAGCGGGGACAGAAAATAAAAGCACACGCCAACACCTGCATCAAGGTTTTGGCAAGCACAAGAGCAGCGAGTAGCCTGTAACTGATGGAGTGACAGTGCAGCAACGGACGGGCCTGACTGCAAGATCAGATGAACTGCTGAGAGAGATTTTATACTTTCATACTTTAGACTCTGGGAGGAAATAAAGACCAAATTAAACCAATTAAGATATCTCCACAGGAACAACGTAACTGCATTGTATTTTTCCACTCAATGTGGAATGGACAATGCAATAAGTATATTCCAGTACTAGTTTTATTTGTTACCACTTTACCAGGTGTGGTTTTCATGCACTGTGTGGCAAAACAAAATTAAATTATTAAGAGCCAATTATGTGCTCCAGCCCTACCAAAGGGGAAATGACTACAAGTAAAACTGCAGAAGGACAGGCCATCATGCACAATGAGACTTTTGTGATAATAGTAATTTTTCTCGTTGTTCCTGTATTCTTTTTAATTTCCTTAAACATCAACCTCCATCTAAAACTGTTTTGACTTGTAACCACACAACATCCCAGCCGGTCGCTCTGCATGCCAAAGGGATTCCGTGCTAAACGAGGACAGCAAATGATGTTGTTGTGAGAGCGAGGTTAAATGAGGGCCATGCCAAGCCTGGAAAGTAACCCTGGAAAGAGGTGGCACCAAGCAAGCCAGGGAGAGATCTGCAGCTGTCGTTTGCCCTAGTGAATTCAAGAAAGAAGGTAATACGGAGTGGCCATGCAAGGAAGAAGTAGGCACCATCCTCCCACAAATTCGTCCAGTTAAGATATTCACAGTCGTATTTATGCAAATCCAGAAAGCACTCCCCCAGCCCCACAGCCTGCCAAATCAGGCCCCAGCTGCAGACAACTGCGTAAAAAAACGCATACCTGCTGTCCCTTTCATTCCTCTCCTCCCAACCACTTCAGTCCCTGTGAAGAAGTCCCAGTAATGTGTCTGCTCTGTCTCAGCCTGATTCCTCATTCTGCCGGCTCACCCAGTTCTTGGAGCTGATGCTCTCTCCGATTGTCCTCATCAGTGTACTGCATGGCATTTCTGGGCCCTCCAGATACACAGCAGGCCAGGTAGGCAGAGAAATCCCAATGATTTGGTGGTGTTCTTCATAAGACAGACAAGATTTTCCATCACGAGGTGGAGACATCATCATTGACATGTTTCTGGTATCTTCCGGTCCCTTTGCTTTCTTGTGGTCCTACTTGCTGCTCCTGATGGCTCCTGTTGAATAGTTGCTCTGTAGCAATGTACTGCACGTAAAGGAGGTGAACAGGTCCCAGAATTCCTCTCTATGGCATACCAGATGCCATAACCTCAACCTCATGCCCACTGGTAGCACGTTTGTCAGGCAGCTTCCCCTGAGACCAAAACTGGAGATACAGTCACTTACACTGCAGGTAAAAAAGCCATGTTCACTGTGAAAATAGTGCACGACTGAACTCCATGATATGTATAGTTTTGTGTATAGTACAAGCTTCTGAAGAACATAACCCTTACGCAGCAGAGCGCAGAAAACAGCCCACCTAAACACCATGGAAACTCTACCTGCACCATTAGAGTTGTGGTACCCCTTGGTTTCCATACATGAGAGACCACGACTCTACACCAGGGGAGATGGCGGACGTGCATGCCTTGCGTAACTCTGACCTAAACAGCAGCAGTACTATCTGGGCACAATCAGCAGCAAACGTGTGTGGACACAAGATGTGTTACTGGCATCATCGGACAAACACAGGACACATCAAATTTCTCTGAGGAAGACAGTTCCAAAGTCATTAAGGTACTCTCAGGCAAATCAAAGCTATGCTCTGCCCACTGCTAAGAAGCAGGAATTGGAGAGCACAAGTCAGTGCAGATGCCAAAAGCCACGCCTCAAGACTCTTACTGGCCACCAAGGAAAGCTTTGCCAGCTCTCCCATGCCTACCTCGAGCGGCCAACGGGGCTTTCACATCCCAGACAGAGGTGACTCTCCCTGGCACACTCACTGAGTGTGCGAAGTGTTAGGCTGCATCGCCGTCTATTCTCCCCTCGTACAGAGAACAGCAAGCATAGATGCCTGTTGCCATACCCACAGGAAAAGGCAGCACAGAGAAACAACACACAGACATGCAAGCCAGCAGCGTCAGCAAGGTGAGGCAGTGTTAGGGCTGCAGCATTCAGCTCTCTGTCCCATACTCCTGTCAGCTACTACAGCTTAGCAATACCTTGGGGTCCCTCATCAGCCTTGCTTTCACATGTCTACAGAAGTGGAAATCTCTTTTCCTCATTCCAGCCCAAATTCCAAACGTGTCTCCAGCCACAAAGCTGGGTATGAACAAGGGCATAGCTTCAGTCCCCTCAACTTCCCTCTGCTGCAATCAGTCAAACAAAAGCCGTATATGTGCAGTTTCCCCTTTGCAGCCAAACGTCCACACGTGTCTCCCAGCTCCGCTAACATCTTGATGTAGCCTGCCCTCAGGAAGCGCTGATGTACAGCGTCTTCAGCCCTCTCACTACCAAACAAATGCCAGGGTCTTGACAATGCTGGAGAAACAGAGATCTGTCCTGTCGGCTCAGCTCAAGAATGATCTGACAGATAGCATTTATCTGCCCAATAAATTACTTAGCCACTGCCCATTCCCTGCAAGGAAAGAGTAAACGGCTTTATTTACATTATCTGGTAGGAAACTGAGGTACAGTGAGCTCAAGTAACATGTCCAAGGCCAGTCAGTTGAGTCTGTGGTAGGGCAGGGATCGGAATCCAGGACTTCCTGGCTTTCGGCCACACACTCAAACCACCTTGCCTACAACTTCCTTTGCTACCCAAGACGGCCCTCACGTTTCTTAGTACACTAACTCGCACTTGCGACAGTGTGAATGCAAAGCGCAGCTGCAGGCCCTGCACATACACACCTACCTTTATAGCAGTAGTTGTTTGTTCAAGCCTATCCCTGTCCTGCCATGCCAGGGCACAGCCAGCTCCCCTGATGCACAGAGCTCAGTTTCTCTTCTTACAGTCCCTAAGACGAAACGTGAGTAACCACCATTCCGCCACAAATGGTACCTCTTCCATCATTTCCCTCCTCCCCATCTCACTCCACAACAATCCAGCTAGGGCAACGATCCCACAACACTGTATAACAGGATACTCACAGTGAACTTTGTTAGGAGTGGTCTGTTTCCGACGGGACATGTTTCCCTGACCTGGGAGCACAGAGTGTTCGTTCCCTCAGCAGAGGGCTCACCTGAGAAGAGAAGAGCCTGTCACACACACCACTGGAACCTTCTGAGCCTCTGGCCAGCTGGCTGTCTCAGGGCCATTCCCCACCCTTCTGCCTACAGGGCTCGTTCTGCATCACCACAGCCATAGTCAGTACCAGCATCCGACACGATCCACAAGCATTTCACAGACCACCATGCATGGGCAGTCCCACCCAGTTCTCCAGCAAAGTTATAAGCCATCCTGTCCGCAGCGCACAAAAAGCTAAGAGTGCCCCACTTGAGGAGTGACTGCAATCTCCGTCCAAACATGCTTCACCCTCTTGTCCATTCCCATGGCCAATGTGGCAAGAACTGATTGAAACCTGCAGACCCTGCCCTATCTCTGGCCCCCACTCAGAGAGAGATGGAGGGGACACAAGGCCCCCCTGTGCCCAGAAGGCTGGTCTCAGGCACCAGACAACCCAGCCCAGACAGACAAGGGAACCAGCCACCCTACGGTCACAGCTCCACAGCAACTGACGGGACGTGTGGCCAGCCCAGGGACAGGTCTCAGCCCAGACGGATGCCCCTCAAAGGGACTGACCTCACCACCCTCGCAGACAGGCACAGGGAGAAGGGAAAAGCAGGGCTGCTCGCCCTCCCTGCTGCCAGGACCTCCCGGGGCAGGCAGGGCCTGGGCCAGGCAGGTGGGGACACAACCCTGCCCTCACATGGAGAGGGACCACTGATGCCCCACCTCACATGGGGAGGGATGCACCCCCTTGTCCCTCACAGGTGGGGACACACTGACCCCCTCAAACTTTACGAGGGGGGAAACATCCATTCCTCATCCTCACACTGACAGAGGAAGGAATCAATTCCAACAGTCCCCTCGGGCACACAGACAAAAGGAGGAGCTGAACCCGTTTCCCCCCAGAGAGATGGACATAGGGATCCCACCAGCCTCCACTGACAGATGGACACAGGGATCCCATCACCCTCCCACCGACAGATGGACAGAGGGATCCCATCAGCATCCCACTTGCAGATGGACACAGGGATCCTGTCAGCCTCCTCGGAGAGCCGGACACAGGGATCCTGTCACCTTCCCACCAACAGACGGACACAGGGATCCCGCCAGCCTCCTTAGACAGAGGGATCCAGCCGGCAGTCCCAGCACACGGGAGGCGGCAGAAGGAGCGATCCCGCCCGCAAGCGAACGGACACACGGACAAATGGGCCCCGCTGCCCTGGCGGAGGGA